CATCTATGTGGATCTCTCAAAAGCCTTTGATAAAGTTCCTCATGAAATACTACTGTGAAAACTTCAGAGTCGGCATTTCTGGAAAGCTTTTAATGTGGTTTGGGTCCTAATTTAGAACAGATTCATGGCGGTTAGAGGAGTTAGAGTAAGACGATCATTTCTAGTCGGTATCACTGCCCCAGTAGTGTACCCCAAGGTGGGGTGCTGTCTTCTCTACTATTTCTGATTTCTTTGATCTTCCTATTCTTTGGCATTCGGAAGAAATCAAATTCCAAATTTAGCTGATGATGTCAAGATGTATGCTTTCTATGAACAAAGCCATTGTTGCGATTATGAGAGATTGCGGTCTTTTATCAATGCATTGAATGTCTGGGCTTTAAGGAAAGGGTTATCTATTAATCCTGATAAAAGCTCCATTTTGCATTTGGGAAAGGTTTCCCCGCTGAATTACGAAGTTAGTGGAAAAGAGTTTATTCCATGTTCAGTGATAAAGGCTTGGGTGTTTTCATTGATTCAAAATTCGATTTTATGGAGGATATTGATTACGCAGTAAAGAACGCTTATTCGTCAATATTCATTATTTTTAAAACATCCATACCGCTAACCAGGTAACTTTAACGAGATTATACAAAGCTATGTGGTTCCTCACCTGGAGTACTGCTCTCATCTGTGGGACCCTGTAGGTGTGAAGCAAAGCTCGAAAGTTGTGAGAGTTTAGCGGGTTTTTTGCAAGAATGATTCTATTTCGTAGTCAAAATACTTTTGGACGGATACCAGACTACAAAGAACGGCTTAGAATTACTGGTTTGAAGTCACTAGAATCAGAAGAAGTATTGCTGACCTTGTTTTCTGTTTTCGCATTTTGAGGAATAAGATTGATCTCAGTGCTAGCAGCTTTTGGCTCTTTAGACCACTAGCTGCAGGCATGAAGGATTCAATCTTTCTTTTGCTAGGCTAAATAGATACCACTACTCCGGACTTTCTAACTGTTTTTTCTATCGTTGTGCATGCTGGTTTCGCTTGCCTACTAAACTATTATCATCAAAAAACCGTAATTCTTTAAAAAGGGGACTAGAAAAGCTTGATTGAGAAGGGATTCTGAATTGTGGCAATTATCTTTGTTGATTGTGAGATTGAATATGCAATTACTTTGCTACGCCGTAACAAGTTGTTAATGGTGACACAGTTTTATTGCCTGACGTTTCAGCAGGACGCCGTCTTCAGAGGCTGAAAAGGTGTCAGTCACAATAATATACGTTCTCAGCCGCCAAATATCTCCTCCCATTTGCCACGGCATAGCAAAATAATGGCAACGATTCATCCTCAGAAAAACATACCCAGGTTCAAAGATAAGAAGACCTTCAAGATTGTGAGATTGTTCATCCAGATTTTCCAGACACCACTTCTTGTTAGATTGTCATCCATTTTTTTCTGAGCTTCCTTTCATAGAGTGATGCCTGGGAATTCTGAATGAACAATCTTATATGAGTAAATATTCACATTTGGGCTTTTAGGTTCAAGGTTTTTGAAGGATCGGATGTTGTGCTGAAGTTTATTTTTTTAACTTCTTAACATTTCTACCAATAATTAGAATCTTTATTTCAGGCTTCTAAGGCTGTTGTCTTGTTGTCTATGTGTTACGCTTTTGTTTTAATTACTTCACTGGCCTTCGTACTGTCTTCGCGAGTGTTGACCGTTGCGGGAGCTGCTCATTTTTTGTGTTGCTTTCTATGGGATTTTGTAACTAAGTTCCTCGGATATCTCTTGCATTCCTATGAATCTTGCTCACCTCCAAGAATCATCTTTATTGTGGGTTACGTCAGCTAGCCTAGCACCGGGGGCTCGCTGACACTCTAAATCGGGAGTTATATTAGTTTTAGAGGTGGCAAGGCTTCTGTCATGATTAGTTGTGTTCTGATTCCGACTTGGTGTTTTTTTGTTGGGATTCCTTGGTTGAGTTTATTTTTTTGGTGCACCTAGAGTAAAATAAAATAAAATAAAATAATCTTCCGTACACAAATTCCCGTTCGAATTCCCGCTCGCCGACAAGTATTTTTAGTGCGCCAAATTGTACTTTTGGCTGCTGCTCAAGTTCTTGAGACAGCTCATAGCAAAAAGGCGGATGTTTGTGAGATATATTGCCTATGCCACAGGTATCAAAAAAAACAGGCGGGCGGGGGGGGGGGGGAGGAGAGGGAGGAGGACGAGGGGGTCATATTCAGGATAGCGCGTACAATTTTTGTACATGGCTGTAGCATATCAATTATGCAAGCAACTTGTCTCCATTCGCTGTAAGATTATTTTCATGGATCCAAAAAATTAGATTAAGTGAGGACTTCTTTATCATTTAGAAGAAGAAAAGCATCTGTTTTTTTTTTGGTATGGCTGGCGCAATTTCTCGCTCCTCCCAAAATTTTCTGCTGTTTTGAAGGGCCAAGTCTTGCAGACGAGGACTGAGAAAAAGTGATGAATACATTCGGTATGCATTTGTGCAGCATTGCTTCCCTTTTCAATAAATAGTCCACCGGCGTCTAAGCGCCTGAATTTGCAATTTTGCGCATTCAGGACCTATTTTTCCGCTTTCATCTTTTTTTTCGAAGCGACAAGCTTTGCGCAGCAAAATTCTGCGACACCTTCTTTTGAAGCTTTTGAAACTCACGATGAGATGATTTTTGTGGAATTTTCAACGTTTTGATAAAGAGGAAAATAGCTTTTTCACAATTAAATTTATATTAGGTCGTTCCGAAAGTTCTTTCCGTTTTTTCAACCTATCATAAAAACACGTGGAATGAAGGTAGGGAAACGCTTCAGGCAACATCCGACGCAACTTTTCTTCCCCTTTTAAACTGTTATGTTCGTTTGCCGTTTGCTATTGTGGTCAGTGAGATAATGGCCGAAATTTCGGACCTATGGTTTTTACCATGTCCAACTTTGGCAATTTTTCACTATCTTCTTTCTCAACTTTTGGAGAAGCTTTGATAGCATTCAGATAAAGTGAACAAAGTGCAATGCAATGCAATTTTTTGGCGATTTCAGCCGGCTTCTCATTATTTTTTTAGATGACTTTTTCAAAAGTCTTCACTTTTTCGAACTCTCAAAACACACAAACGCTCTGAACATCAACAAATCTTCGGTTTTCGAAACTTTCAAAAGTCGTTTATGATTGTACACTATTTTTACAAAGTAACTGAGCGTTTACCGCTTCGAAATATAAGATTTTGCATTGCACGGATACATCATGAGGCGGGTTCAAAATCAAGATTTATGGAAATTTTATCGCCAAAGACCCCACAAAATAATAAGAGAAAGTACTCATCAGAAAGAGGAGAAAAAGCTGCATCGAATGACACTTTACTTGTGCGCTGTTTCATGTTCTATGGCTTCTGGCATCCCCAAAAGTGGAATTTGATAGCATCAGAAAAATAATTCTAAAAATGTTTTGAGGCTAGCTATAGATGCCAAAAAATCGTATAAAATTGCATTTTGTTTACTTTATCCGACTGCTATCAAAGCTTTTCCAAAAGTCAAAAAAGAAGATAGCGAAAAATTGCCAAAGTTGGACATGGTAAAAACCATGGGTTCGAAATTTCGGCCATTATCTCACTGATCATAAGAGCAAGCCGCACAGGACTATGACAGTTGAAAAGAGGAAGAAAGGCTGCGTCGGATAGTGCCTGAAGCGTTTCCCTACCTTCATTCCTCGTGTTTTTATGATAGGTTGAAAAAACGGGAAGAACTTTCGGAACGACCTAATATATTATATTTTCTTTTTGCATGGATCTGAAGCAACTTCTCTACAAAATAGTAAGTACTTCAAGCTCATCTTATGGTATTATGACACAAGTTTTGGTAGACTCGAAGAATCTAAAAATTCAAGCGGTCAGCTCAGATAGGAACCTCTAAAGAGTAAATTGACGAGTTGCGAAGTCGTTGAAAATAAGTTGGAGGACACATAGAGTTTCGCATACTTAAATCAAGCTTTCACATCTGTTCTTTCGCTCCACCCCATGAAAACCATATCGAGAACCTCTAACTGCTGTGGCAAATCTATTGAAGTGTTATGCTGCAAATGTATTTTTAATCTATATTACTTGAAACTACTGCAGGTTAATGGCACGTAAGTCTTCAATTCAACATATTCTGACTACGTGCAAATGTAGCTAAACTTTCGCATCCACTGAGTAAGAGTGTTGCATGTGCACCCCTTTTACAAGAGTATGACAGTTTTTTCTGAGGTTCGCTTTGACCCTGAATTACGACTTTTCCTTTGTTTGGGTCAACGATATCCAGCTTGTGAAAGCGCAACCCCCGCCTGGTCCGTGCAAAAAGTCGATTATGAGATTTTGCGCTTACCTGGGCTTGTTCTTTATGCTGAATCCGGAAATCTACACTGGAGAACGCAAAACGGCAAAGAGGGCTGTAATGCAGGAGAGAATTCAGCAAGTAGGCAGGGTCTTCCCGCTTCCCGTGAATACACACTTCCAGCTTTCGGAGCGATCTTCTCGGTTCCCATTTCAAGTCACGCATCCGCACTTGGTCTGTGGCGATGTCAGGGCGGCTAGCGGAATCGAGAAGATCGCTACGGAAGCTGGGAGCGTGGGTTTGCAGTGGGGGAGACCCGCCCACTTGCTGATTTCCCTCCTGTAGACCCTAGCCTTTTCGCACTCTTCAGTGTGGATTTTCGATTCTGCATAGCGAATAAGCGGGTAACCTCAAAACAACATCAAATTTTTGCCCGGACTACCTTTAAGGCTTTGAAACGCCACACTCATGCCTTAATTTGTCTGACGCGACATTTCATTTTTTCTTTTTCCTTCTTTCCACTCCAGTCTTGATATGAACTTAAAATTTTTGGAAAAAAGCAAGATCTTTGGGACTTTTGTATTGAGCTTGTAAAGCTCAAAGTAATGGCAGCAAGAAGAACGGAAAGAAGTTAAGATTTGTTTTATGGATATGACTGACATAAATACATGCACCTCAAACTGCTTCGATTAGGAAAGTCTTTATTCATTTCGTGCAATTTAGCAACTTCTTTCTTCCGTCAGCTTTCTGGAGTGCTCCATGTCGAGGTGCCAGTATTCCATAAATCTAAAACCTCTGTTTACATACTTTAATGGGATGTCCATGCAGAAGTGAATGGGGGCCTGGCCCTATACTGCATTCGAGTTGTCTTGTAAATTTGTATTCGACTTTTTTTGAAATCTGACTACTCGGCAGCAAAGAAAAAAATAAGTATACCTTTTTTCGATTGCACCAATGCTCAATATAGAGGTATGGTTCTATTGAGCTTATTTCTCTGGTTGTGCCATCGATTGTGTATACAAAGCTTTTCCGGTCCGGTTCTATGGGTCCAGCCATCATTGCATCTTTTACTGAAATTAGAGTTTAAATGGAGCTCAACTTTGCAACTCTGACTCACTATTTTCCTTGTCGTATATCCATAATTTCGCATTAGTAAACCGTTGACCCTTACAACGAAGAAACCCTCTTACTCCAGTTGGCTGTAATCACCCGATACCGGAATAGTCTGAGAAGCCTTGCAGCAAGCCATAGCAGTAACATGATGGGAGAATGAAGAAGAATATCAGTACTCGCATTCTGCGTTTATGCTTTTTATTTGTCATATAATAAAAACTGGTTTGAATAAATCAACAATAACTCTACGTAAATTTGCTAACTAGTTATTATCAAGTTGAGCATTAACAAGTTAGTGTTTTAACGACTTTGCACTAACTCACTTACCAAACTTGCAATTATGGTTGCAAGATGCTGCACTTCGTTACTGCATGTTCCTCATGCTAACTTTGGAGACTAGATTCAAGTAGGAACATATCATTCGGTAAAGCAAAGCAAGATATCCTCCAAATATTTGCACGATGGTTTCTATGTTAATTAAGGTTAAAATTATGATATTGAAACTTTTAAAGAACGAATTTTACCACCCTTAGACTCTCTTATACCTATATTCTGCGCATGACAATTTGATGCAAACGGATTGTATTTCTCTCGTTTCTAAAAATTTAAGAGAATAAATGTTTTTCGCTAAGCAATATTAGCCTGCTACCACATGATAATTCAATCTTTGCAAGGCTTAACTAGGAATTTTCAGTTTTCTACGCGCTGTTATCTCAAAAAATATGAAATGTGACGTGAAAACTGAAAAGGAGACATTTTCATACTTTTCACCTTATGTTTGACTAGGAGATTATAAAGTGGGCAATGTGAAGGTGGAATAGTTTTAGTCGAATTATTTTATACAATTTTTATTTGTTCTATATTTTTACAATTAGCAAACGGTCTGAAATCTCCCCTTTTATTTCAGTTGATTTAACCACCCGATACCGGAAAAGTTTGAGGAACCTTGGCAATGACATAATGGGAGAGAGTAGAAGAAGATCAATACTAGCATTCTGCATATATGCCTTTTATTTGTCATATAATAGACAATGGCTTTGCAAATCAACAATATCCAACTATATCTGGAAACATGGGTAGTTGTATCTTTACAAGCTTAACTAAAAATTTCAGTTTTCCACAAGAGCTGTTTTTCAAGAAACGTGAAATTTGACGTAAAAATCGAAAAAAAGACATTTTCGTATTGCTAAACTTTTTTTGTATCCTAGATACAAGAAAGATAAAGCGACTGCTCTTATAAATGTATCTGACTAGGAGATTATACACACGAACAAAATGGAAATTTTAGGACGAAAATTCGACTCTCTTTGGAAACAAAGAACAAAGGTTTTTGGATTTTTTTTGGACCTTGACTTCAAACTTAGTGTGTTTCAATCTTTGCGCGGATGATCTGCCTCTCCCCTCTTGTGAAGCTTGCTTTGCTCTAACGAACAATCTAATTTAGGGAAAGCATCATTGGATACAAACTTTTCCATAGATTGAAACACAACAAAACTTTTGAAGAAATAAAAAAAGCGTAGGGCTAAGGAGTACATCTCAAAGGGTATTTACGTGAGTTCAGCGATAAAATCGCAGTATATTTCGGTTTTTGATATAGGAAATGGGTGATTGCATTGGTGTTTTGGCAAAATTGGCATCCCAAAGCATAGCTAAACCATATAACAGACATCTAAGCTTTGAAACATCAATTCGAAAAGTAAACGACCCAGCAATAAAGCTGACAAAGCATCAAATTTCACGAAACATTCGAAACGGCATGGCGATAAAATTTCAGAAAACGCGAAGTCATGAAGTAGAAAACTCGACTCATCTGCCCAATGCAATTTACAAGTATATTCTCAGTATCATTTGCAGAGGCTCCCCAAGTGAACTTTATTCGAGTAGGTGCTACTGCACTCCGAGATCAAGGAAATGCGCCATATTGTTCACTTTCATAATGTCAAACCTTCTTTTGTGGCTGCAGAATGACGAAGCCGCTGAAACGTGACATTTGAAAACTGTCTTTAAAGTGTTTGTCCTGCGCATATGTCGCTCCTTGGCAAGTTGCATATGCATCGGCGCCGTTTCTTGCTTCAGAAACATAAAGATTATTCGACAGGAGCAGATATTCCATGATTTAATTATTACAACTAAATTCGAGTCACTTCCTAATAAGATTTCGTGCACGATTGTCGATAAATCTTGACATTGTGATTCGAATTGCAGTATAGTTTTTGAGCTGTCGACCAAGGTTGGTATCAAGACTTCATTACACGATAAGCCAACGTTTTGGCGTTCTGTCCATTTCTCCAGGGCTTCCTGAAAGAAATTTTTGAGATCTGCCCGCTCAAACGCCTTGTTTGGCAGTAGATCTAGTTTAGCTGCTCAGATAATCGCCGGGGGCAGGCGGCCACGCGATTTTTGGGCAAGCGGGCACCGGAAAAATGAAAATCCGCTTGCAGTCTGGAAGAATGTTGGCCAATTTTTATTGGGGACGCGCGGTCCGTTGTGGAGGACCGCACAGCCTATAGGTACCTTCCGCTAAGAGAAAGTACCCAAAACTCGGGTAATCAAACCATACGCCCAAAACAGCGTAAAAAGAGTCTTAGCGCCTGCTGAAAGTTTGGCAAGCGCTCGCTGAACGTGATTATTTGACTTGCGTTTGTAGGAGATTGTGTGTTGCTGAACGCTTGCAGAATACGGAAGTACCGCTTGCTAAAGGTTTGACCGCGCCCCAAATTTCTGCTGACCGCTTGCAGAAAAGCGCGAGTTTGCCTGCCCCCGGCGATTATCTGAGTATGTGAAGGAACGGCAGAGTATACAGGGTGCCCCAAAAAATGTGCTCACTGTTTGATTGTAAATAATTCTTTTGTAATGAAGTGTTTCAGGAAGCTTTAGCTACCATTTTGTAGAGCTCGCTTCAACTTATATTTACAGTATGAAGCGAATCACCCATCTCTCTTCATTAGAGTTTTTCACAATCAAACAATTGGTACATGTTAGAACACCCTGTATGCTGAAAGCCTGACCTCAACTTTGCCAGATGGTGATTCAACACCTAACAACCAGTATTGCGCTGCAACTGCGTTATGTGTGAGTATGATAGTCAGTGTCGCGACAATGTCCTTTATATGGTTTTAGAAGATCTTAAATCAAAGTCTACTTAGTGTAGGAGAACAGTTCGCTGTTTATGACAATACCTTCATCATTGCGGTTCATTTTTGGTGTTTTAGTCGCTATCCAAAAGACCTCCAACTTTTTACAGGCTACCAACACAATTCGTGTGATAAAATCGTAACAGTAACTTGAATTTACTGGTTCTCATGACATACCTTCGATGTGCATCCAAATGAGGCCTCAAAATGTTCTTTGATTTTTGCGCACAAGAATCTGCGGGTGCCTGTGTACTGGCCACCGCATTTTTGACAGGTCATGAGATAAACAACTCCTAATTCTATGCGGTCGCCTGATTTTCCAGATGACACATTGTGGTCGTGCAGATTCTGTCATACGTTCATTTTTTCAAACTCAATTTTTGGTAAATACCAACACGTATTTGTTCAATTTTTGGTTGTCACTGTGACATGAATGTGATGTGAGTGAATGTGCACCCAAAAGTGTGGATTTTCTAGATTGGTTTAGATTTTTTTAAGCCGTCAAGATGCCTACTGATTCTTGTGCACAGGGGTCTGCCGGTCTCTCTTATGTGCTGGTCACTGAATGTTCAACAGCTTATGGGATAAACAACTCCTAATCCCATGCGGTGGCCTGGTTTCTCATACGAGCAGATGATACAATCGTGGCCGTGCAAAGACAAGCTACAAGCAGTTTTATCGTGGAAAAGTCGTACATAAGAACTGTAAAATTGATCATATTGTTGCAAATAAAGCTCAGCTTTAGGCTTTGAGACTTCAAAGTGAATTAGCTGCATGTTTTGGCCCAGCATCAAGCCGAACGTGGCTCTGTACGGCCAAATTTTCACTTTCACCCATAATTTAATACCTTTAATACGCCTTTAATAGCTTATAGCTTCGCCATGGGCGGGGCCAGAGAATACAGGAGATGAGCGCTGCTTCCGCGTTGAAATTTCGGAGGTTAGAAGTGGCAGAGAAAGATCGGACTTTGGCAGATAGGTTCCATATGGGGGCTCCTACCCTGTGGTCTTGTTTTGTCACGGGTCTCATTCTGCCGATCTACAGGGCTCCTAAATTGCAGAGTCGCTTGCACCAGCGGTCGCGCGACCGCGTCGCGCCTGGGCATCAATGGCGCCGCCTCGATCGATGGCGGCGGCGCCGGCAAAATGCACGGGCGCGACGCGCTCGCGCGACCGCTGGTGCAAACGACTCTGCAATTTAGAAGCCCTGTACCTTTAAAGGCATACCCTCGATACATAGAGCCACGTACTCTGGTAACCTTCATTTTGAGGGCTATGAGGAGACACAACCTTCACCTGAAAAAAAAAAGAAGTCAACCGGGGCTTCGCCTTGGATGTTATTATCCTGGTTATATCGGAACGAATGTTAATGAAGCAAATATAAGAAGTAATATCTCTAGCTTATCTGAGCGAAACCAAGAATTTGCGTATTTATAGCCTTTTTTAACCTTAAAAAAGGTTTCTGTGAAATTTTCGCCAAAATTCAGAACAAAATTTCTCAGTTAATCTCTCATTTGAACGAAATTGAGTTTTGGAAGTTTAGGAAAGCTGTAGGAGTTAAAACGAGATACATCTTGCGCAAAGAGTCGCGCACGAAAAAGCTGGTCTGTCTCGTCAATAAGTGACTCTCAAAGCTTGGGACGTTGTCAGTTCTCCTCGTCGTGTCATGACGACCAGAATGATATATAATGTTGCAGGGTTTCGTTGAGACCCCGCGGAGATCTACGACCAGAGCCAAATGCCCCGTCGGCTCTGGTCTGTCTCCGCTGCTCGTCTGCGTCTCCGCGCGCTGCGCGCTACCTCGCTACCCCAGACGCGGGGCCCGGGGCATTTGGCTCTGGTACCCTTTTCTTCGCTGTTTCGAACCCAATTTAGCAGGCTATATATCATTTTGAAGCTCTTGATCTCTATTTTCACGCTGACAACGTCCCAGAGCCACGTTTTTTGATTTGATCGAGAAACCCGGCAAAAACCTTGTTTTCGAAAATCTCTTGTTTTTCTCCTAGTTTAGCTATTTCCACGCGGTTTTTTCATGCATTCTACAGATCTTGCTTCTATTCATAATGCAGACAACCACCCAGCCTTTATCTCTTCGATTATTTGGAATTTTTTGCGAAAAATCGTAAAAAGTGCGTTTTTCTTCACCTTGTTCTGTTTCTGTGCTTTCGCATCGATTTTTTTCCGGCTTGGACGATTGTTGCTCAGAACAATAAGCGCAACAATCCAGACAACGTCCCAGGAAACAGGAACGCCAATGAGGGGGTAAAAATTCAAAGGACGCATCAAAAATCAAAACCCCGTGTTGCGAATTGCTGGTCCTGAAGCGAAAACTTGCACTTTGAAAAGCCGCCAAATAAAAGATTTGAAGCCTCATTGCAGCGATTTTGTCCTGTTTTGAGCAGTTTCTTTTGCTTTTTATATTCGTTTTACGTATTCTTTTCTTTTCTGATCTTCTATAAACAACCTTCACTTTTTTATGAGGGCAGATGCTCAAACAATCTTCACTTTTGACGCCCTGTCTCTAGACTATCGAAGGTATGTTTAAAGGTAATGTCCGGACAAAAAGTCGATATTGAGATTTTGAGGTAACCCGGTCTTATTCGCTAGGCTAAATCCGAAACCACACTGAAGAGTCCGAAAAGGCGAAAAAAATTACGCAGGAGGGAAATCAGGCAGTGGGCGGAGTTTTCTTCACTGTATACCCACGCTTCCAGCTTTCGTAGCAATCTTCTCGATTCCGCTAGCCACCCTGACATTACCGCCAGTTTTGTGCGAAGCTTGAATCGGGAACCGAGGTTCAGCATAGCGAACAAGCCCGGGTAAGCAAATCAACTTTTTGGCCGGACACTGTCTTTCCACTCCTTACTTTTCATCTCAGCTCTGCTCTCGTTTTCGGATTTTTTTGGAAAGTGAGTACTAAAGTTATTTTTTGGCTCAACGCTTTGAATAATCTATCAGGGGCGGTATGCATCAATCTCCCGTTTTGAAAGCGGGCGATCATTTTCAATAGAAAAATGTTTGCCCGGCCGGGTTGGCCGCACGACTCGTAATGTATGAAGCTGGCCAACCCGGCCGGGCAAACATTTTTCTATTAAAAATGATCGCCCGCTTTCAAAACGGAAGATTGATGCATACTGCCCCCACTTAAGTGTTCTTATAAAGGCACGTGGAATTTTACCCCTGATTTTTCATAAACAATGCTATCGAGCTGCAAATTTCAACGTGGGCGGCTTAGTTGTTATGCCTAGCATTTGAGGACTGGCTCGTGCGATTGGGACAAGGAGGTCCCTCTCAGAATTGTCGAATACTAGGATATCTATAAGCCATAGCCTAACTGCTGCAGTTATTCGGAAGGAGGAGATTGCTTTGGAAGCTTCAGGTATTCAATCTTTGTAACAAATGGAGTTTGTAGGTTAAGGTGCAAGTTCACTACATTTTTACACACATCCTAATCCTCTAGAATCAGTGAATTTTCAAGCTGCTGATAACAAGTTAGTTCGAAATCCGTTGCTTCATATTTAAGAGGTATTTGAAGATGTAGAAAGAGCCGTCAAGTGATTAGAATGAGACCAACTTTGCAATAGTGGAATGTTCATCTTCGGAGTAGCTCAGTAAAGTTGCTAATATAGTCCTACGATTCATGAAAGTGGGCAGAAATAAATATTGAACATTACCAGCTGGGTAGAATAATCGATACTAACACAATAGCTAGTACTCAGTTCAAATTCAATTTTCTTGCTTCCAAAACTTACAGACACATTTTCTTCAACTTTCGTCTTTTGCTTTTGGCGATATTTTCAAACAGCTCAGACGAGCAAGCAACTTTTACTTCATGTTCTTTTCATGCTCGCAATTTCACATATTTCAAATCTCCGTTAAAAGAATACGAACTTCCATTATATACATGGACACAATTTCCACATTAGATTTTCATATTCTCAATTGCTGTATTTTTCCATTGCTACAAATCGAGAGAATAAAAATTTGCATTTTCTTAAAGACCATGCTGCACTGTTCCTACATGAATAGACCTTAGTATAAACCTTTTCGAAATGTCCCTTCGAAATACATGCTTCAGGCTAGAGAAATCTTTTACAGATCTTGTGATTACTGTCTCCTTGCCACGTGTCAATATATAACACGTTTGAGGACAGTTTGACATATTAGGTTGGCACGAAAGTTCTTGCGCAATTCAAACAAAATTCAATAACTTTTCAACGCCCTAACCTAAATTCACAATCTTGTTCTCTAAAAATATTATAAGGATGCGCTCCATGATGGAAGTTTAAGCGCAAGATTCCATGAGCTAGCCCCCAAGGACGAAGCTCTTAAATACGGGGGTTCAAATTTTGCGATTTTGAGTTTGGTGTCAGAAAATCGCAGAGGGCCGCTAGCTAGCCGAAAAAAATCTGTAGAAATTAATTACACAGCAAAAGTCCATACCTTATTTAGCAGGCTCTGGTCTCGCATACAAATGCGAAAACAAAAAATTTGTGGAATTTGTCATTTTACAGGATGAATCCCCTTACCGCTGTAATTTTTCCACAAAAACACAGTTTGCAACCAGAAATAAGACATAGTGCCTATTTAGAATCTTGCGAAGTTTTCTGGAGTGTAAAAAAGCGTTTTCGCAGAGAAAATGCAGTAATGAAGGGGTTTTTTCCGCAAAATGACATATTTCAGGATTTTTTTTTGTTTTGCTTCACCGTACAAGACCAATACCTTCCAAAGTAACATATACATTTCTACCGTGTAAGTGATTTTTACAGATTTTTTTCGGCGAGCTAGCGACCCTCTGCGATTTTCTGGCACCAAACTCAAAATCGCAAAATTTGAAGCCTCATCTTTGAGAACTTCGTTCTCGGTGGCTAGCTCATGGAATCTTATGTCTGAACATCGATCATAAGCATGAGCTTTCTAGTATTTTTAAAGCATAAAACTATGAATTTAGGTTCAGGCGTTGAAAAGTTATTGAATTTTGTTTGAATTGCGCAAGAACTTTCGTGCCAACCTTATATGTCAAACTGTCCTCAAACGTGTTATATCTTGACACGTGGCAAGGAGACAGTAATCACAAGATCTGCAAAAAATATCTCCAGCCTGAAGCATGTATTTCGAAGGGACATTTCGAAAAGGTTTATACTAAAGGTCTATTCATGTAGGAACAGTGCAGCATGGTCTTTAAGAAAATGCAAATTTTTATTCTCTGGATTTGTAGCAATGGAAAAATACAGCAATTGAGAATATGAAACTCTTCAGTGTGGTTTCGGGTTAGCCTAGCGAATAAGACCGGGTTACCTCAAAATGTCAATATCGACTTTTTGCCCGGACATTACCTTCAAAGGTAGATCGGCAGAATGAGACCCGTGACAAAACAAGACCACGGGGTAGGAGCCCCCATATGGAACCTATCTGCCAAAGTCCAATCTTTCTCTGCCACTTCTAAGCTCCGAAATTTCAACGCGGAAGCAGCGCTCATCTCCTGTATTCTCTGGCTCCGCCCATCCCATGGCGAAGCTATAAGCTATTAAAGGCCGATATTTTGTTGAAAAATTATGGGTGAAAGTGAAAATTTGGCCGTACAGAGCCACGTTCGGATGCTGGGCCAAAACATGCAGCTAATTCACTTTGAAGTCTCAAAGCCTAAAGCTGAGCTTTATTTGCAACAATATGATCAATTTTACAGTTCTTATGTACGACTTTTCCACGATAAAACTGCTTGTAGCTTGTCCACAGGAGCGATACTATTCGTATTTTTTTCACACTCATCGAATGGTATACAGCATGCTTGGTTTTGCCACTTCGACTTCTGACCATTCCCTTGTGAGCTTATATAACTTGAAGGTACAGTAAGTAAAATGGAGAATAATTTAGAGTTTTTGTATGAATATGGCTGATAAAACAAATGTCTCGGACACTGCTTTTGGGAAACTCTTTATTCATCTCGTGCAACTTAGCAACTTCTTTGCCCTTCCTGCTTTTTGGAGAGCTCCATTTCGAGATGCCACAAATTCTTTGCATGACTACCATAAGTTACATACTGTGATGGGATGTCCAGGCAGAAGTGAATGGGAGTCTGGCCCTAAACTGCGTAGTTATCTTGTAAGTTTGGTACTCGACTTCTTGTGAGAATCTGACTATTCGTCAGCAAAGAAAATAACAAGTGTACCTTTTTTCGATTGCACCAGTGCTCGACATAGAGGTATGGTTCGATTTTTGATATTTCTCTCGTTGTGCCTACGATTCTAAAATTACTATATCCAGAGCCGTTCCGGTTCGATTTCTCAGGTCCAGACAGCATTGCATCTTTTACTGAAATTGAAGTTTTAATTGAGCTCAACATTGCAACTCTGACTCACTATTTTCCTTGTCGTATATCCATACTTTCGCATTATCAAACAGTCTACGGTTACAATAAAACCACCCCCATGCTCCAGTTGACTGTAACCACCCGATACCGGGATGGTCTAAGAAGCCATGGATATCTTCTAAGAAGCCTTGGATATCTTCTGAGAAGCCTTGGCAGTAACATGATGGAAGAAGGTAGAAGAATATCAGTACTCGCATTCTGCAGTTATGTCTTTCTATCTGTCATATAATAAGAAATGGTCTGAACAAATCGACAATCGCTCCGCGTATATGTGGTAACTAGCCGTTATCAAGTTGCTGAGTTAACACTTACAAGTCAGGTTTCAACGACTTTGCACTAATCCCACTTACCAAACTTGGGGATTATGGTTGCATGATGCTGCACTCCAGTACTGATCTTCCTCATGCTATCCCGGGAGAATAGACTTAAGTATGAACATATCATTTGATATAGCAAAGCTAGACATTTTGAAACATTTGTACGTTATCTTCTGTGTTTATTAATACATTGACGACCGCTTGACACACATGGCATGTCAAAGTTTGACTCGCCATATGTATCGTTGAAACGGCTACTATTTTGTGTCAAACCCATTCCGGAAGTTTGCTTTTGTGCTGGATCTAGACACAACCTTTGCTGTTTTTGTCAGCATTTCAGAGTTACTGTAGGTGTACTGTAGATGAGATTGCGCGTGATTTTATCTGAAAAATGTTGACCGGTCCGTGAAACGCTTTGATCGTCAATGTGTTAAGCTGAAAATAATATGAAACTTTAATGAATTTCACCACCCTTAGACTCTCTTACTATACTCTCCGCATGTTTAATAGAAACAAATTGTATTTCTCTCATGACTGAAAATCGAAAAGAATCGAAATGCTTTTTACGAAGTAATGTTAACCTGCTACCACAGGTACTTCTATCTTAGCAAGCTTAACCTGGAATTTTGAGTCTACCACGCGTTGTTTTCTCAAGAAATATGAAATGTGACGTAAAAACTGAAAAGGAGACATTTTCATAGAAGATTATGAACGTGGACAATATGGAGGCATAGAAGTTTTTGGTCCAATTGTTTTATATTATTTTTATGTGTTTTATATTTTCCGGTATAAACGGTTTGAAATCTCCCCTTCAACTCCAGTTGAGCTAACCACCCGATACCGGGAAAGTTTGGGGAATCTTGGCAGTAGCATGATAGGAGAAGGTAGAAGAAGATCAGTAATCGCATTCTGCACTATGCCTTTTTGTCATATAATAAGCAACGGTTAGAGAAAATCGACAATAACTCCATGTATACCTGGTAACTAGTCGTTGTCAAATCGCTGAGTTAATCTTAAAGAGTCAGTGTTTCAACGACTTTGCACTAACTCACTTATCAAACTTGCGGATTATGGTTGCATGATGCTGCACTCCATTACTGCATGTTCCTCATGCTAACCCTGGAGACTAGACTCATGTAGAGTCAAATCATTCGATAAAGCAAAGCAAGATGTCCTTAAAACATTTGCACGATAGTTTTTATGTTAATTAGGCTGAAAATATTATATTGAACACTTTAAATAAATTTTTTATACATATTTACTTACATGAGAGGTTAATAGGAACAGATTGTATTTCTGTCGTAGCTAAAAATCAAAAAATGAGAGCTGGAATGCTTTTCGCAAAGCAAAGGTGGCCTGCTCCCACATGGGTAATTCTATTTTTGCAAGCTTAACTAGGAATTTTCAGCCTTTCACAAGAAAGAAAGATCATAGGTAAAACTCGAAAAAAAAAACATTTTCATTTATTTTAACCTTTTTTATACTAGATACAGAAAAGATAGAGCGACAGTTCTTGTAAATGTATTTCTAGGAGATTATACACGTGAACAAAATGGAGGTGGGGAAATTTTCATGCGAGAATTCGACCGTTGGGTTGAAATTTTTCGAACTTTGACTTCAGACTTAGCATGATTCATCCTTGCGCGGGTGGGCTACCCCTCCCCTCTTGTGGAGGTTGCTTTGCTCTAACGAATAATCTGATTTAGGGAGAGCATCACTGGCAACAAACTTTTCAGCTATAAGAAGACCAAGCTAGCATCACTTATTTTCTGCAAAATAGATTGAGACACAAAAAAATTTTGGAAATGAAAAAAAGTGTATTGCTAAAGAATACGTCTCAATGGGTATTTATTTGAGCGCAGCAATAAAATCGCAGTATATTTCGATTTTTGAAATAAGAAAAGGGGAAATTGCATTGATGTGTTGGTAAAATTGGCATCTTAAAGCATGGCTAAACTATAGAAAAGGCATTTAAACTTTTAAACATCAATTCGAAAAGTAAACGGCCCAGCAATAAAGCTGACAAGGCATCAAATATTATGAAACATTCGAAACGGCATGGCGATGAAATTTCAGAAAACACAAAAGCGTCCGCATGAAGTAAAAAACTCGACCCTTCTGCCTAACGCAATTTACAGATCTAGTCTCAGTATTCTTTGCAGAGTCTCCGTCCAAGTGAACTCTATTCGAGTAGGTGCTAATGTACTGCGAAAGCAAGAAAATGCGTCATATTTTTTACTATTTATAATGTCGAATCTTCTCATGTGGCTGCAGAGAAATGAAGCCGCTAAAACATGAGACTTGAAAAGGGTTCCTTAAAAGTGTTTGTCCTGCGCATTTGTCGCTCTTTGGCAACTTGCATATGCATCGGCGCTTTTTCTTGCTTCAAAGACATAAATATTTTTAAACAGAAAGAGATGCCCCATAATTTAATTATCTGCAACTGGAATCGAGTCACTTTCTCATAAGATTTCGCGCACGGTTGTAGATAAATCTTGACATTGTGGTTCGACTTGTAATGCAGTTTTTGAACTGTCAATTGGTAGCAACACTTTATACGATAAGCCAGCGTTTCGGCGGTCCATCCACCTCTCCAGGGCTTCCTGGAAGATCGAAATTTTGAGATCTGCCTGCTCAGACGCTTTGTTTGGCAGTAGATCTAGTTTAGCTATGTGATGGGGTGGCAGAGGATATGTTGAAAGCCTGATCTCAACTTCGCCAGATCGGGATGTAGACACCTAACAACCAGTACAACGCTGCAGCTGCGTTATGTGTGATTATGATAGTCAGTGTTAACAATGTCCCTTATATGGTTATAGAAGATCTCATATCAAAGTCCACATAATAAAGGAGAACAGTTCGCTGTTTGTGACAATACCTTCATCTTTGCGGTTCATTTTTGGTGTTTTAGTCGCCCTAAAAGGCCTCCAACTTTTTGCAGGCTATGAACACGGACTCGTGTGACAAGATCGTAAAAGTAACTTAAAATTACTGCTTCTCATGACATAAATTTCGATGTGCACCCAAGAGTGGACATTTTGGATTTTTTAGACCGTCAAGATGTCCTTCGATTCTTGTGCACAGGGGTCCGCCTGTTTCTCCTATGTACTCACCGCATTTTTGACAGATTGCGGGACAAACGGAACGCAGATGATACAGTCGTGGTCTTGCAGATTCTGTCATACGTTCATTTTTTCACGTTCAATTTTCAGCACGTATTTATTCAAACTGGTTGCCAATGGGCCATTCTTTCAATGTGCGCGCTCTAAAGTAAATTGACGCACAGATTCTTTAGTCCACGATTCTCTTGGAATTGGCTTCGATATAGAAAACAAAGATGGCCTATGCAAAAATTTCTTTGTTTTTGAAAGCAGAATCTTTGAATAATGAAAACACTTGAAGAAAAACATCTGCCACCACCACTGTGATACACTGTAGTCATGTCCACTTTTTTGCTGCTGAAAATCATGAATATAGTAACTTTGTTGAAAGCTTACACCATCTCAAAAAAGTGAAATTCCCTAGTCGAAATTGCTTCTGATGGCTGTTTGTTAAGGATTCAATAATCCAAAATGTAAAGTGCGGTTCATAATTATACGAACACCCAAAATTTTGCAAGTTTCCGGACTTTTGGGAGAAACTTAAAAAGCCGTTGGTACCACGCGATAGTACGCAGCCGAAAACGATATATGATTCATAAGAATGGAAATCGATGTCAATTGTAGGAGTGTTTTTGCGCCTAATGCGAATTTTTAGCGGTTCATAATTATACGAACACCTCAAACAAAGGTCCATTTTTCATTCAAGATTGCAATCGTTTGAGTCCAAATTTTTTGCAAAGTTACAGTAACAAAGTCTGACATATCTGCTACACACTGAACCCAGTGCAGTTCAAAACGAGGACCGTTATTTTTTTCAGAAGGCTCTAAATGCTTTTGCAGTGATTGAGCTTCAAAAACATCCCTTCTTCTGTGATTTAAGCGCTCTAATTAGCTTCTACCAAAGCTATGAGATAAAATAAGCTCTTTCGATAGGTAGTTTGTTTGAGGCTTGGAAAATCTTTGCGTTTTCGTGCCGTTTTTCAACCAAGTTCCAACCTTACCACAGAGTTAGCACGCTTTCGAGCCTCAAAACTCAGCTTCTCTCTTGCGCAAACATTTGATATGAAGCAGCTGCATTGCTTGCTTGATAATGTTTCTGTGCCAAAGTTTTTGGGTTTTTTCTAGAACTGATCTTGCGGCTGTGGAGCTACAAACCAAATAAAGGTGTGATTGCAATAGTAAAAACAGTATTTCTGGTGAAATAACGTCTGCGTGACCAAAACAAACGCTCAACGCTGCTGATTTTTTCTAGCCAAATATAAAGTCTTGTGAACTTCGATTTTCCAAGCGTCAAACAAAATACCTAATACGCAAGAGCTTATTTCATCTCATAGCTTTGGTAGAAGCTAACTAGAGCGCGTAAACCACAGAAGAACGGATGTTTTTAGAGCGCAATCACTCAAAAAGCATTTAGAGCTTTTGAAAAAAGTAACGGTCCTCTTTTTGACATGCACTGGGTTTAGTGTATAGCAGGTATGTCAGATTTTGGACTTTGGACTCAAATGATAGCAATCTTGAATGGAAAGTGGACCATTGTTTGAGGTGTTCGTATAATTATGAACCGCTAAAAATTCGCATTAGGCGCAAAAACACTCCTACAATTGACATCGATTTCCATTCTTATGAATCATATATCGTTTTCGGCTGTGTACTATCGCGTGGTACCAACGGCTTTTTAAGTTTCTCCCAAAAGTCCAAAAACTTACAAAATTTTGGGTGTTCGTATAATTATGAACCGCACTTTAGCTCAAATTTGAGAATGAATGACGCTTTGCTGTTCATGTAATACTTTGATGTA